CTTGTTCAAAAATGATTTTGATGGTTGTACATAGAATTTTACGATTTTTTATAATAAATACTGTAACTTGCAAATGTTGCAATAATAGTGGAATGCAAATATTAATATGTAATTGCATTTGAAATTGAAGAAAATAATAAAACTTAATCCAACTGTTTAGTTGCATCACAATATATGTCACAAACTAAAACTATCTTAAAAATATCTTTTAAGTATACATTATCAAAAACTGTTTGCGGCTCTTTTTACAATTTTCAAAATGCAATGCGGCTCTCGAAAACCCATGAGTTTGACACCACTGATCTATTCTAGACGATTCAAGCATTGCTTTGGGAAATTATATCACTTCAATTAAATTAAAATAATCTCGCTATATTAAATACAAAATCGTTGGTATCATAAAGGTAAACCAATTCAGCCACTCGAAATATATTGGCCTTCACAAAGCAATGGAGGCAAAATTGAGAGTTCATGAGCTATGAACATTTGTTCTTTTCTTTGTCTTGAACTTTCCATACTCCACAGCCCCTATTAATTTTTTTTAATTTTAATTACCATGTGATGGTCATACATATCTTTAACTTGTATTTTCTGTCATGATGTATTATCTCAATGTGCCAAACTATTAATTAGTGTGCATATTTTGCTTCCAGATGACATAAATGTATTGTCATGTTTAATACCTCAGCTTGGAGTATTGACAAGAAAAAGGTGCCAGTAAATTAGGTAGAAAAATTTTCAACTCATTGTTATAATCAGAATTCACAATCAATAGGAATTATAAACAGCCAACAATCAGTGAGAATTATATGCGAAATCCCTCAGAATAAATTTGTCTAAAATCGGAGGAAGGCAAAAAATATAGGTAGTTTCCATCCACACAAGCATTTCAAGAAGACTTGCTCGAGCCAAACTAAATGAGCATCGTCAGGTGATCGGTAAGGCTGCAAGTTGAATTCAGCCCTGCAACCTCCTGCATAGAAGATAATATTAATTAGTGGGCTATGAGCTAAATTCCTAAATTTAAACAAACCTATCTACGATGCATTATGTACCAGCAATGTTACCTACGATTAACTGAATATGTAATATGTCTAATAAATTCACCTACAAAAGCAAGTTCGATAGGTGCAAACTTTGTGTTATGGAATTGTATCGCAGCACAGTTTTGTATGACACCCTCTTTAAATGAAATTTCAATGATTAAGCGCAAACATTAAAATTACTAACTTTGAACTTTGTCATTATCTGCAAAATGTTCCACACAAATCTTCCCGCTATCGCGTTTGTAATCTTCTCTGATAAAAAAAAAAGTCTATGATGTCCAGAATTGCTCTTTACAGCTTGCCTGTTATTCCAGCTTTCCAAGTAAGCAAAACTTCTTAGATATAGAGATTATTTTGTTTCGTTACAGGCGCAAAAAGGCAGGTACTACACGTAAAAAAGACGCCGAGTAGCAAAAGCGAGCGGAAAACGGACGCGAAAGGCGACGAGAAATATGTGCATTGGAGCGTATCATGAAATACAATGTTTTGCCTGTAGTCTTATGGAGTGACGTCAGAGTTGCCTATCATGTTGTTTAATGTCATTGGTCGGACCAACAATGTGGGAGTCGTTTATTTAAAACTTCAGCTTCAAACCTAATTGTAATACGTAATAAATTGGGACGCGAACCAAAGATATCAAAAAGCAGTAACTCCATATATATATATATATGCAGTGATGAGCTAGAAAAATCGTAACAACCGGAACGCAATCTAATTTGTTAAAATCTATTGTATATATTCTCAACACATCCGCGGACGCTTACAGAAATTGCCGGTCTTAAAAGGAGCCGAAGAGATACATTAAAATATGATGAAAAACAACTAAAATATGTCTGTGTAAGTATATTTATAGCAATTCAATACAAATATTATTATTAGGAAGGTATGAATTTTTTTTCCTGGGGGTCAAAGGTCGGGGAAACATCTAGTGAACTTGTAATAATTGGACACGTAGTGGACCTATGGATAGTTTTGATATTATGTTGTTGTTCTTGTTGGACACGTTAGTGGACATAACGATCGTTTCAATATTATGTTGTTTTTTCTTGTTTGTCTTCTTCGTCATTATAAAATCGCTTTTCTCTTCGAATACTGAACCAATTGCTTTGAAATTTTTAGTGGGTGAAGATTGATTTTTTTCTGAAGGCTATTACTTTTATTTCTTCCTAAATTTTCCATGAAACCCATGAGATCTAATATTTCTTCCAGAATTTCGCTGTATTACTTTTTAAATATAGGAACACGGTTTTTTATCTGCCAAGCGTGACGGCTCATTCTACAAATTGTTGCTACTCGAAACTCGAAAGTTTTTTGAGGTTACCGGTAATGCTAAAAGTGTGGTAAACTACTGCAGTGAGTACTTCTATGCTTGGCGTCAATATATTTGTAGACTGTGCTGTTATGATACCGTAGTAAATTGAATCAGTTGGTATTTCAATTTAAGTTAAAACGTAATCGTCACAGAACCCTGAAAATCCGTGTACCGGTCTATCTGTTTCACAAACGAGGAGCGTCTTGCACGTCATGTGTCCAAAATTGCGGCTTTTTTGTGCTGTGTTGGTTTCGTAGCCCAGTTACTGTTTCACTGTTCAGCTTTGTTCCGGATACCCTAGGGCCTAGGGGTTTTGTCGAATTGATGATAAAATATTTCGTTTTGTCTTACGTGCAGTCTTGTCTTTGAAATTTGCAGTGGTTAGAGATTGATTTTTTGCCAGAAGGCTATTACTTTAATTTCTTCCTAAATTTTCTAAGAATCCTATGAGATTTACTCTCGAATGCTACCGTAGTAAATTAATTTTTCCGTTAAATCGGATTATTTTTTCCTAATGGGATTCATTTGTGACGTTTTTAGATTGCGCGTTTTTTTAGTTTTTTGCGCGATGCCTGTTTGCCGATGTGAAGGTACTGCTTCGCTTAGTGTCAATATATTTGTGTACTGTGGTATTTGCTGTTATAATATCGTAGTAAATTGAATAAGTTGGTATTTCAATTTTCGTTGAAACGGAATCGTCACAGGACCTTGAATATTTCCGTATACCGGTCTATTCGTCTAACAAACCAGGAGCGTCTGGCACGTCGTGTGTTCATGCTTTTTGTTAAAACTCTCGACTGTATATAGCTCACTACTGTATATAATATGTCTGGTTGTCAAAATGTAAAGTCGTATTGCATATCGTAAAACAGAAGAGATGAATGGTAACTTCGCCAAAGTTGTTGTCAAAAAAGTGAGTCAAAGTTACATGAGTTTTACAGTAGTTATAACTAACACAAATTTTCTATTTTATCCGTGACGGATGAACGTTTACTATATTTTACGACCAGTATTGGCTCGGATTGTATTTCATAATTTATAGCAGTGATTTTCGATTATTTTTTCAAGTAACCCAGATTTGAAAAAAACACCCAGGAATATGATCAAATACTGAACGACAAGTTGTGATTTAAAAGCAGCAAAATTGAATTACTTGAACAAAGTAATTATTTTTCACTTTTTTCTTTTTGTTAAAAAACCCCATCGAGTCACGACAAGTACGTTGGGAAACAGTGTTTTACACGGCTGTTACCAGCTCGGCCGTTCGAAAACACCATCGACAAAAAGATTTGGCCTCCTCACTATTAGACCTTGCCAGCTCTCCAGTGGCTGCCTGATGAGTTTTGATCAATAAATGTTTTTAATATTTTGGTGGATCTTTTAATTTGTTCTCAGCCTCAATTATTCTATTCATCCTCATTGTGAATTTCAAAGGAAAATTCCTATTAATATACCTATGATTTCATATATTTTCACTTTCACAATCACAAATACTCATGGGGAAAAGTGATGCATATTGAAAGCAGTATAATATGCAATGCTTGGCTAGGTTTGTGTGCCTATTTGGTGCCGTGATTTGAGATAACCCAGTGACCAAATGTAATATTCCCAGACTGAGCTCTTCCATTATTCTCATTGATTGGACAATATCGTCATATTATATTTACTTTCCTGATGTTGTACATCATTTCACAGCATTTTTTTTTACATATATATTACTTTTTTCGCTGATGTTTTTATTGTAAAATTTTGCTTGATTTGAATCAAACATATCGGTTGAAAATATGACTAGCCCATTGTCATCCATGATATTATACCAGGCACCAGCATCTGAAGATTTTGGCAAAATCTCACTTTCCAACTCGATATAACCAATCTTTTATTTTTCCGAATTTCAAAATCTTGAAATCCTAGTTTTTATGCGGTAAATATTTAATTCATCTAGACACAAGTCGTTGATTCGACTCGATTTGCAATCGCCTTTCAATACCAGGCCACCTAAATGAAATGACTAACCGCCATTGAGCCTTAACTCAGTGATTGACTCGACTTCTATGACTTGTTGCTTTTACGATATATTTCGTTATTCGCATTATTATTGGACAAAATTGCTTTTTCTTTGAGGACAACAGCAATTGGTCTTGAATTTTATCTTTAATAATGGATGGATATTCATGAAAATCTATTACTTTTATAATTTTATTTTATTTTTTTGCAGTCTCTGAAGCTTATTGCTTGACCCGAAATTTACTGGTTTTCGAGAAAAATCCCACTACCACAGGAAATTGTCGATTTATTTTATCGAGATCTCACACAACGACACGCCCAATCACAGGCATTTCCATATTTTTATCCCGGTTTAAAAGAATATGAAATGAATTTACATATTTACATGACCGTAGCCTGTCTCTTGTTCATAGTGTTCTTGTATTTATTTGTCCGCGGCTTTCTTGTTTTAATAAGGACTCGGAAACAATAAGTCAAATGCAAAAATTTCAGATCGGACTACATACACATTTTAAATTCTGTTGGGTTATTACGATAAAAAGTATAGGGTATAGAACTACGAAGCTCTCTCAATCTGACATCGAGTTTGGTCTGTAGTTGCAAAAGGGTTTTGTTCGGAAGAATTGATAGTTTATTTAAGCATAAAGGTCATATTTAGGTTGAGTATGAAGACTTTATCGCTTCAGAACATTCTTCTTGTACTGCTCGCACGACCGCTTGTACCACGTGAAACACTTGTAACTGTACGAACTATACCTCCTGCACTGCTTGTGCTACTTGCAGCACCCACAACACGAAAACCACTCGAACCGCTTGCATGGCTGCTGCTAGATGCGCTATTGCAGCACTTTGAGTTGATATCCGCAACTTTTCGTTCCAACGAGGCCATTTCTAAGTAAGAAAGTAAAACAATTAGTAAGAGATAAATTGCTCAAATATATGGACCTCAAGTCAAATGAATACCGATATGAAAGAAGAAAATATTTTAATGATAAATTATGGTAATTTGATTTGTAATCAATCCGAACAAGGTTATGGGATAAATTCGTGGGCTTCATATTTGACCCCATAAATTGGAAAATGCTGTGAAAGTTCACACGCGGTCATACTAAATTGTTCATGTGGCTGTTTTGCTAATTGCATTATCCTATTTAACTTTTTTGTCAAATGAGAACACAAATATAATGAAAATTATCTAAAGCCTTGTTTCTGTCTTTTATTTTATTTTGAACGAATTCTTACTCACCCTTTATCAATGCGTTGATCTCAGAGGAACGTTTACTGTTTTCTTTACCTAGTGCACTAATTTCTGACGATTGTTTTTTGTTATTTTTACGCAGTTCACCTAATTCTAATTTCTGATCGCTGTTCGTTTTATGAAGATGACTTAATTTAGATGAAAGTGTACTGATTTCCAATTTTTGTTTGTTGTTAGTCTCACGAAGTTCACTTATTTCGAAAGATTGTTGTTGGATTTTTTCGCTATTTTCAGTGATTCCGTTAAACTGTGACTTCGATATTTTGTCGGAACTCGCAATTTCTGTTAAAACATGAAATATTAAAGCGCAACTAGAAAATCTGAGACTGTTATGTTTGACAACCATATTTTATATTATTGAACAACTTGCCCACCTGCACTGCGTAGCACTACTCGCAGGTCTGAGAGCCGCAGGTTAGTTGTGAAGTAAAACACAGTAGACTGGGAGAATGGATAGATTTACGCCCCCAGTCAAATTTAAATGGCCTGTTACTTACAAATCCTGCAAGCATTGGCGCGTTGGCTCAGTGGTAGGATCACCAGGACTAAATAAATTGGAATCTAATCTACCAATCTACCAAACTGTTTTTTAAGTACAATGTCCGCAAAATTTATGGCTTAACTGCCGAATAACCCTCACCATTGCTTGCTATAGCTACTTCAAATAAGAACAAATCACCTTTCATTTTAACTGCATTTCCATCAACCTTTTTTTCGATTTCATTCAAATCTGAATTTATACTTCGGATATCTAGATAAGGAACACAGGCAATTGCATTACTTGATATCACAATATATATATATGTACTTTAGATACATTCATATACTTCAACACTAATCTGTTAATTTTTTCGGGCGGCACAATAGCCCAGCGGCTAATGCGCTAGACTTATGATATATAACTATGTTTGCATCGCAGATTACACATCTCAGTTTTCAAATTCCATGTCGACCCCCAGAGTGTAATAAATTGAGCGGGCAATGTCGAATCGGAAATATTTTGATCCTTTCAAATAATAATGAATCTTCAATTCAAGGAATCACATTTGTATAATTTAATACCAACATAATGTCTCAATAACTACTTTGTGTTACTTATGAAAGCGACAATAGCCCACCACCTACATGTACACGGAATAAGGGAACATGAAACAGAGTGAATTATCTCCTTATCGGCTAATGATTGCCTACTCTAAATATATAATGTTTATTTTTAAAACAAAGAATAATCTCAGTGATGATGATGGTCAGATGGACAGAAATATTTTGAAGGCGCCCCCGATACCAAACAAATCTAACTCCTGACGAATTTCCAACCGTTCAAATTGAAAAAAAAAAAAATCCAAAATTCACCTTACCCTGTATGTTACCAGTGATGAGCGGCAACAGGTTTGCGTTACTTTGAGATTGTGCTGCTTTTTGAGTTCTGCAAATTATTGGGAATTCGTTTCTTCTTAGATGGTTTTCAATGCTAATACCAGGTTGATCCCAGCGCAGAGGAGTTGGATCACATTGCACAAACCGGCAACCGGGTTTAGCGGAACACTGAAGTACTACGTCTTGACAGAGAGATGAAGAGATAAATATAATCACAATAATTATAAAATAGCTTTTCATTTCAATCTTTAATTAAAACAAATCAGTATGTCAATCTACAAATACCAAAAAAAAAGTTTGATCAAAATATTCATTTGTATCGTAACAAGATTCTACAAAAAAGTCTGTTTTACGAGGAAATCAGTTTAAATTTATCAAAACGTTACTACAACTTGGAAGTTGTTTCGTTAAAAGAAAAGGCTAAAGTAAACAAAAATTATTCACACTACTGAATTACCACGACTTTGCCTCAAAATAACTGGATTATTGCATCACAAGTGGTTTCCGAGAGTTTTAATTGCCGGGATTCGTTATCACGTAGGAGTGGGTGAGTGGGCCAACTTTACTGAGCAAAATCGATGACGTCGCAACAGCGCTCATATATATATGGTATGGTTCTAGCTTCTGAATCACTTAGCTTTTCGGAAATCTTATGGAAACAGATGCTAAAGGCCTGCACAATCGTCTGGAATCCTATATATCGGCTGGTGGTCCAGAAAACATGTTAGTTTCAGCACTGACAGTTATTAAAAAAATCGAAATCGCTTCGATCCTGATGACGATTTGAGCATTGCGCTGATTAAAATGGAGCCGTTTATTGAAAATACTATGTTTGGGCAATTTCAGATTCATCAATCGTTGATTCAAAGTACTGTGTTCAATTATTGATTGTCTTGTCTAGTTGATACAAATCTGAAAAATAGCACAGTGATAATATTAAAAATATTTTTTTTTCGATCGGGTCGTGAGAAGACCATAAAAGTCAAATTTGGGTCGGGCTCAACAAAGTTTGAGAACAAACCAAGTGCTTGCAAATTAGGTTGCCGAATTTCGAACCGACGCAAATCGTTAGTGTTTTCTGTAAGTTATTAAGAATTTTATCGTAGAGTGATAGTACGCCCTCTTCTGCTATAACGTTTGTTGCAAATAGCTCTCGTAACTTAAGGGATATCCATTCACTATTTATTTAGTAGGCTACTGCGACTAAACAAAATCAGCTGAAACTATGGAATATTTGTTATCTATTCACATTATTGAGTACCGCTATTAAACCAAATTACTATCAAAAATTTTGCTTCCATTAATCCTATTTAAGGATTTTCCTACATAAGCCGATTTCCTGATCTTTCAGTAATTTATTTTTCCACTAATAATGAAAATACGCAACTTAAATATACGAGCAGAATAAGATAAGGATAGTATTTACAGAGTGGATGGAGAGGCTGAAAACCAGTACTGGTTATCGAGCAGCGACACATAAAAAAAAAAACGAAGTAAAAATACAAAGCTTTCTGTAATTTCACCTCTGCTTCAGTTGTGTTAATCTTGTATTACAGAAATTTGAATTGAAATACAATGATCTTCAACTGCAAGTCCTATTCTTTTCAATTATTTGCAACCGTGAAATTTTCTTTTTGTAAACCATGTTTACTTCGACGAACACATACTGTATCTAACTATAATTTTCATATCCATATGTCACACTAATGAATGTAATCAAACAAACTGAATATTATACGCTCGAGGCTGTGTGTTATTTAATGTTTTCCTGTGTGAAGTTGGACCTATTTTCTAAAATTACGTAAAATCTGTTGTGGTTTCATGACTCATCCAGAGGCACTACGGCATATAGGTGTGAGCAAATCGGACCAACAATGTTGAAGTCGTTTATTCATAATTTCAGTTTCAACATTCATTGTAATACGTAATAAATTGGGTAAGCTGTATGCTGAACCGAAGAGATCAAAACGCAGTATAGTTTAACATATAATTCCAATGATAAAATCCTCAATTTAAAAGCCTTTGACATTAGTTATGCATGTCTTTCATTGGCTGAACTAAAACTGAGTCGATGCCTTGCCTTTGTCTTCATCCACAACAATAGTTCCTTCATCGTCGTATCTTTCGTTTATTTTCTCTATCCTGAAACGAAAAAATGTATTTGTTTTATATGTTAGCTTATTGTATATATAACTTATAATAACATCTAACAAATATGGGGACGAGCAAAATGTAAGAGTATTATGGACGATTAGTAGCGTAATTAAATAATTATATAACTTTATTAGAACTCAACATTCTGGTATAGTTACTGGTGTCGATATTTAAACATTCAATAAAATGAAAGATATGTGACCGTGCGACGTATATTAATAATACTGTCGAATGAAATTTAAAATAGCCACCCGCCTTGATAAGTCCTTTCTCGAGTGAAACAATTCTGCTTCTTCAATAGTTTCCATCATAGGTTTGCCTGTAGTGTCGCGGAAAGTCAGAGACAAGAGACCGCCAATCACTGCCACCGCCCCGAATATGGTATTCGGCAACCACGACACATAATCTTGAAGACCGATGATAAAAGGTGACAAAACGCTTCCGATCCTGGCGCACATTGCACCAAATCCTATAGCGTTGCTCCTGCATATGGCGGAATCATATATAAGTTTTTGTTGCACACGTTTAGTACTTATTCTTAATACCAAGTGGAGAAATAAATATATATATATATATGAGTTCAATTCTATATATCGTCACGCTAATAACCGAATTGCGTAAGTCATTTTTGGCGATTTTGAGTTTTTTATAAAATAGGTATTTTGGTAAAGCTGCACACCTGTCTGTTAACGCAGATTTTTAGAAATTCCGCAACCTATAAAAATGGAGATTTAGTATGACATGCACATTTGTGCAATTGTTTTGTCATAATGAATTATCATGGTTACCGCAGGACTATTGTGACGTCACAATAACAAAATAACCTCTGCGAAATATTTTCGAGTTTTTGCATCTCGGGTTCTGGCTTAGCGCAGATTAATTTGAATTTATACTACGGTATAGGAAGGGGTGCACTTGCGATATTCATTGTCCGAGTCCAATTCACCTTGGTTGGCTTTTATATTGGGTGCATTGCTGTTTTAGTCTTTATATTTAATCTTAGTTGTATTTCGGTGGGTGTGCAGAGCGTGTTTATTGATGAAATATATATTTTTATACATAAAAAATGATGTAATTGAAACTGATTAGCTATTTTGGGGATTAGACATTGTAGATACTGAGAATTACATTCGTTCTCGGAATGTTTAGTTTTCAGGATTGGTGCATATAGTAAAAGTGCAAAATTGCGTATGTCCCAAGTCATAGACACATTTCTGCCTAAGTCACAGTGCGCCATTATGACGTCACTGAACTGCGTCCTACAAATTAACTTAAATCCGGCTACGATCAAAAAATTGAACCATGGTAAATTATTGACTCTCAATGGCATAACAATATCATTAGGAAGTTTTTTACGTTTTTCTCAAAACTGCTAAAAATGACCCACGCAATTCGGTTATTAGCGTGACGATGTGTTAGTTAGAGTGGAGACTTCGTTTCAAACCTTATGTCGATGCCCAACTGGTTCAGGCTATGAAGAAATAAGAAAATTAACAGAATACAGTCGCAGTACATTTTCAGTCTAGGTCCTATACTTACTTACATATCAAGAATGTGAGCTTTCTGCAATGTCAAATTTATTTTATATAATAGAATATTAAAATAATCACCTGATTACGGTGGGAAACAACTCTCCCGTGAAATTATAAATGATAGCATACGATCCTGAGACAAGGGATCTTCCGATGAAGGCAAACACAACACCCATCGTTATAAGGCCTGGGAGAATGAATAAAATCTACATAGCAAAACATATCATTTTAATTTTCCTCAGTGCCTCTAGAATGCGACGTAGTATGTAGTTATAAAAGGTACGTTTTGCTCGAGAGCAAATTACCTGAACAAACTAATCAATTACAACAATAATGCATAAAAATTACTTTCATCTCCATCTGCAAATGCATTGACAATTGTACTGATTAATAATGCCACTCCTGCTCCAGTTAATGTAATGGTCAGCAGAAGACGACGCCCAATAAAATCCATGGTACAGACACATACAACATAGCTTGCAATTTCTAACATTCCAGCTGAAACATAAATGAAGACCAAAATCAATCTAAAAAACTATTCAATGTAGGCCAATATGGTAATTGAGATGCCATAAAAAGGGTTTTATTATAATAATGTATGTATTCCATAATCTTTCGTTAAAATCTTATATCGATCATATATTTCGTTAGTTTGTTCGTTTTCGTTTGTGTTTTCAATAGATACAAGTTCTGTGCGAAATAAATCACCGTATATATTATTGAGAAATATGTCTCCTGCCAGAGCTCCAGCGTTCAACGAAACTCCGTAATACACCATGCTGTTCACTGCCCTGAAGACAAAATCATTTGTTTTGAAAAAAATGATAAACTTAGTGAAAAGAGAGAGAAAAAAATTGGTATGTCATAGTTATGATATGAAGTACGAACCATGCTTTATATAACAATGTACCAACTGTACTGTAGTTAAATCATCAAAATGCAGCACACAAAGTGCAAGTTTTCTAATGAGTTGAAGAGTTGAATTTTCATTATTTGAATCGAAGACCAATATATGATATTTTAATAGGATTTACAGCTGATTTTGATGCCCGGCCTCCACCGGCAATGGTATGGAAAGGGTTTAAAAACCAAGGTTGGCTTGTCCGATACACACCGTTTTTTGTTTCAAATATATGATAAGCCTAACTGGAATTGAAATAACATTACTGGAATGTTAGATTTCTTACCAGTTAAATCCAATGTTTAGTGTAACTAATCTCAATTTGGAATGTTTAAACAAATCTATCGTCGAGTAACTCCTGTCATCAGTTTCGCCATTCTGTAACGGAAAACATTCCTTCTATACGTCGCGTCACGCTAATAACCGAATTACGTAAGTCATTTTTGGCAGTTTTGAGAAAAACGTAAAAAACTTTCTAATGATATTGTTATGCCATTGAGAGTCAATAATTTGCCATGGTTCAATTTTTTGATCGTAGCCGGATTCGAGTTAATTTGTATGACGCAGTTAAGTGACGTCATAATGGCGCACTGTGACTTACGCAGAAATGTGTCTATGACTTGGGGACATACGCAATTTTGCAACTATACTATATGCACCAGTCCTGAAAACTAAACATTGCAAAAACGATTGTAATTCTTAGTATCTACAATGTCTAATCCCCAAAATAGCTAATCAGTTTCAATTACATTATTTTTTATGTTTAAAAATATATATTTCATCAATATAACACGTTCTGCACACCCACCGAAATAAGACTAAGATTAAATATAAAGAATAAAACAGCAATGCATCCAATATTAAAGCCAACCAAGGTGAATTGCCAGAATTGGACTCGGACAGTGAATATCACAAGTGTACGCCTTCCTATACTGAAGTACAAATTCAAATTAATACGGCTAAGCTAGAATCTGAGATGCAAAAATCTTCAGCCGAGGTTATTTTGCCTTTGTGACGTAACAATAGTCTTGCGGTACCAATGATAATTCATTATGACGAAACAATTGCACAAATGTGCATGTCATACTAAATCTCCATTTTTATGGGTTTCGGAATTCTTAAAATAAAATCTGAGTTAACAGACAGGCATTACATAAATACCTATTTTATAAAAAACTCAAAATCGCCAAAAATGACTTACGCAATTCGGTTATTAGCGTGACGCGTCGTGTCTTTTAATTGAATTATCAGAATTTTCATTGTACTCTAAATAAACTCCTTCTGGATAACTTATCTCTGCCTCAGACGGGTAAGATATTTGTTCAAATACAATTTCACACGTTAGCTACACTTCGTGTACTTTTTCGAAATTGGAATAATGTTTTAATGTTAACAAATATTGTCGGTGGTAGCAATGTGGTGTTTTATATGAATACGAAAATGTAAAGGCGGCCAATATGCAACAATAAAATGTGTTTTTTCAAACATTCCACTTTGCATCAATTCGCCTCAGATCGTTCTAGCCGGAGAAATAAGCAAACAATAACACTTTTACAAAATTTGCGATAAAGAGCTGTGTTTGACTTAGCTATCATTTGAATTGGCTCACGATATAACATAGTTGTAACATTTCTACAATAGCGCATTTGTTATGACACCTGAAAAGTGCAAATTTCAAAAGGTTTCTGAAGAGAATTGTTAGATATGTTTAGTCTATTTGCTCGACTAAATTATTTGCAATTTTATGCTAACTAATACTTACGAATGCGGAAGTTACTGTAAAAATTAGGGACGTACCTCTCTCAGTTGGGCGGATTTTTCAGCTTCACTCCAAATATTTTCGTCCAATTTAACTTTGTTCAATCTTGCCATAATAGTGACAACCTGCAACAATTCACATGAAAACTGTATTTACAAATCTCAAAACAAATGCGCGTGAATATAATGAAATTAGTGTGACATAGAAAAATTCAACTGTTGAAACGAAAGAACACATTGGCGGGGCATAAAATTTGAATTAACTTTAAATATCGGAATTTTAAAAATAAATCATCGAGGTCCATAATTTCATTCAACATGTTCAAGGATAACTTACTCAATACCCAAATGTTGCAAATATGTCCTAAAGTTCAATAATGAATCCAGTCGTTCCAAGCACTCTAAAGTCTGATTGAACTCAATAAACCATGCGAGAATCCAAAAGCTTTATACAGAATTTTTTATCGTTTTATCCTGATATTTCTTGCATTTAATATTTTTTTTGATGTTGTTGTATTTCTTTTGACATAACCGTTTTTGTGGAGAAATTTTTTAACTATTTGCGATTTGAATAAGAAAGCACTCTTTACCCCCAAGTCCGTAACCTTCTTCTGAAACTATTGATAGGCTGTTGATGTACTAATATATCATTTGGAATAGTATAACGGTAATGCCTCGGCTTTTTTTTTTACTAATGTATAACATCTTTTAAACCATTTCAATGACGAACCTTTTCCCCCTTTTTCTCTTTTCCTGCTGTAAAAAGCCATCTACCAGACTCTGGTACAATCAAAACGATGATTGCAAACGGGGCACTCATAACTAAAGCTCCCAGCTAAAAGTAAACGTAAATAATAATATATATATATAAACAAAGAGTTTGCACTTCGTGGAAGAAAAATCATGCGAATATGGTTTAATGAATTATAAAGTAGTTAAGAGACTGCTGAATATTTTTGCTTCATCAATGAGCCAAGACATAACATCAAAAAAATTATCTCAAGCATAAAGTTTTCAAACCTCCATTTGTTTCCAATCTCGATAAAGATATGCAATCCCAGACCATAACATGTAGCCAATTGCAAATGCCATTTGATAGGATATTCCAACGAGTGTTCGCCACTTGATTCCGACCATTTCCATAACTGTAAAGTGGTGAAGTACGCATGAAGCTTATTTAGAACTATCTTATTTTCATATTAGTTTCCTACAAGCACGAATGTGGTGTGGATGTGGTCGTGTACAAAATGTATTCTTTTGTTTCCAACTTCCAAATCGGCTAAGAATTCGATGTTATCACAATTTAAAATTGCATATTTTACGAATAAACCACTGTGTTACATTGAACTATAATATATATTATATAGTGTTGTTAAGTGTGTATAAACTATAGATACTGCCATGAAAACTGCGCTGGAGGTAAAAACATAAAATATTCATACTATAGCAGAATATTGAAACGTTGCATCCCACTACAAATGTTGCCACGAGAAATCGGGTAAATGAGAAGAGTTCGACCGTATTACAAAAGGCAACACCAAGCATCGAGAAGAGCATGCCATAACACGAGAGAATCATAGTGAATTTTCTGCCGAATCTAGATTAAAAATATTTATTTTATATTCTGAAATTTGAAGAACCTATTTTTGTCGCAACGTGTCTCATTACGAGCATATACCTTAGTTTTTTAGAACAATATCGTGAACCATTACACGTATTAAAGTTGGAAAAAGATCCGATTTCTGCATTAATTAATATTAAGATTAACCTGTCGGAAATATTTCCAAAGATTAGTGATCCAGCAATTATTCCAATCATGTATGCCGAACTTGACAGTGAATGTAAAAATCTTCTATCGCAGACAAGATCAAACTAAATAAAAATATCTTAATAGAGAGATAAATTATGACCTTGCTGTCATTTAAATACGTATAAAAAAATCTAAATCAAACTTCGAATAAAGAAATATTATACAAAAGGATTTTTTCGTGAACAAGCATACCTCTGTTACTGTAGTTTCCTCAAAAAGACTATCATTATAATAGAACTCGTCACAAGACACAAGTGGCTCACTTTTGTTGACACAGGAAAAATCATTTGGTCCAGAACATTCTGTTAAATCGTATCCGTACCTGTATGAGAAAATACTGTTTTTTTTTTTGTGTAATCAACAACTATGGGTGGGTCGCTGTGGATTACTTGATCACGATATTGCGCGCGAGTTCCATAAACTAGTAGATCAAACCATTCCAACGTTTCAGTTCTTAAAGAAGTCAAAAGTCGCCTGAAAGCTATTACAGTAGTTTTTATTTCATATTTTTTTCGCAATATTTTATTATCCCTATGGGACCCGATATCACACCGAATTTTTGCTATTCCTGTCAAGCTGTCCGACGATCTTTTCAGCAAACTCGACGCTCAGCTAGGAACGTAAGGCTTTACCAGGTACCGGTGTACATGCGACAAGTTTTATCCCTTAACTTAACCTAAGTTGTCAAAGTTGCTGAATTTTAAACAAACAAATTCAATAAAATACATATTGAAAAATACAAACATGGGATGGAAAATAGGCATGACGTGAGACATTTCGTCTCAACATGCGCAATATCGAATAACTTTGGATGCTCCCTGTCTCCTTTCTTGACTTAAATTCGGCATATTTTAAGTATATATTTTAATAATATCAAGCAAGTACAAAAATGGGGAGTACTAAATAAATATTGCTTTCTCAAATTTTGGCGCCATATGGACAATTTGACGGAGATCTCATTGAAAATATAATAATTTTATCCGAAATTCGGCACGCTAATGGTTATGTGGCAGCGAAAATTTATCAACAAAAGAAATTGACGTCACGTGAACATTAAATGGTCATTGTTGAAAATACGCCAACTTCAGTCGCCGTTGAGATCTTCGACACATTTGATCCCCGTGGTCTCATATTGAAGCATTGCCCCCTTGTTTATGTTTATGATCATGCATTACATTATTTTGGCCTGCGCTTTGTTCTTCTGCAAATACCCTCCACGTGAAAAAAAAAATTGAACTAAAATGTTGTTTTCATCGCCACGGTGGTCACATATTTCTATGGCTTAGACACAAAAAAAATCATCATGGCGTTGAGCATTTCTAATTAAATTAAATATGATAAAATAATCCGAATTTACCTTCGACATGCATCAATTGGATCATTTTTGTCGTCGAGTGGAGTTGTTAGATTAAACAATTCTTCATTGGTTAGATTTGGGTAAAGAGAAGAGTTGTCGAACGGGTACATGAGACATCTAAAAACAATAGTCTTTTCATTAGTTGTACAATATTTTTACTGCTAATATTAGCATTGATTCGAAAGAATAGTTTTTAGTCAATTACCAAAATACAGTCAGTTTGTGTTCATGCAAATTTAAAAAGTTTTGAAAAAAGAAAATTATTCAGGGTAAAAAGGAAATTTAGGTATTACCGTAATTCAGAATTATATTTCTAGATAAATGCAAAGTTCGATATTGACTTTTTGTGTTTACTTTGTAATTGATCTGTTTACAAAAACCCAAATATTAAATTTTATTCGATATGCAACCACTCACCTGTACTCTGGTGTATAAGACAAAAACACCGATGCGATCGCATTCAGGCCTGATGGTATACCAAAATAACACAGTGCTATAAATACAATTATTTGGTATTTGCCAAATGTACCAACTCTTTCTAATAAATATTCGAAATCCAGCATTTTCACTTTTTTCCTGAAATAAAAATACATTATCTTCATGGCGAGTTGTTGTTACACGACCTAATCAATTTATAACATTTATCCAATACAGTCAGCAAATTTATAGGATCACTATATTTCGTTCCTGAAATGCCATGACTTAAAATGCAACACTGCAAAAATTCACTATTTAAGCTACTGTATCTCCAATATTGATACAATGTTGACACTATGTCCTTTAAATGACGTACCGTGCAGATGTAATAACATAACACATTAAACAACGGTGAACTCTGTTTTCAATATTTAAACTAGTTAGGAATCTGGCTTGGAAATGGTATTTAGGTATCAAGAAGTAGGCTACTTGACAATAATTAGCAAAGATTATGCAATTCACACAATTATTTGACCTGAAAGCAAACAAGAGATTCATTTTCCTATTGTTAGCCATTACTATATAAAATAAAAGCATATTGTTTCATGGCATAACAGTCCAATCCAATTTAATCACCCCATCCAATTGAATATTTAGTGTGAGATAACCGACTTTAGGGAGAAAAGTATAATCTTTGATGTAAATATGATTATTTCAAAATTATTGAAAAGTTGCCCACAAATTATTTCTTGTGAATGTCAGATATAAAAATCACACAATGAACATAGAATCACAGTGTGTCTAATTACTCGCCAATCAAATACTGCCTCCTCATGCAAAACTTCTAAAACGCTTTAGAGGAAAAAGCATCTGTAAAATATCTTTTTCTGCAAATACCCATTTCATCATTTTGCAAACTGATATTCCTACTCGCGCCATGTAAGCAATCCAATACTCCCTTTTGATGAAAAAAGACTTGGCCGCAATTGGCATTTTTGTAAGATTATCCCTCTACTAAGCAAAACGACGTACTGATATGACTTTGGCAGTATGGAAATTAAATTGTTTTCTTTCAATAACCCGGACAGTCAAATAATAACGTTTGCAGCAATGCGTGAATTTTATTTTTCGAACTTCAACCTATACAACAAATAATTACTTTTTACTCACTCATATTTGATCCAGTCAAAATTACTGTTTGCTGTTTTGATAGATCCCGTCAAACAATAATGGGTAGCCTAGGATGACGACAAATGCATTCAGTATTTACCAAATAGCGCAAATCACACAAGGAGTTTATTTGCTTTGTGCAAATATTCCGTGGATATATATATAGTGGTTGCAATCATTGAAATTGTAGTTTGATTTGAGTTTGTCTTATGTAAACTTATACTGCCTGTCGAACCACTTCAGTGTAGTTAGGGAAATCGAGACCTGCAAATAACTTCAGTAATTGAACAAGATCATGCAGATATTAATAGATATAAGAAATATATTATACAACCTAGAAGAATTATTGATGAAGTGGGCGATTACGGTCCAAACCTTATCAATAATATTAACATGCTGCAGATGCAGATATCATCTGTTTGTACATTTTTTTTAATTTATTTTTTTTCCAAGTTAACAATTCAACACTTTGCTTTTAACGTACATGTCATAACTATACATCATTACAAAAGAAGACAAAATAGAGAGAAATAATCAAAAAGTAATTGTAATTGCTCTTGTTTTTGTTCCTGATGTTGTGATATTCATGGACAAGGATCGTGTTATCACTATTCGTTGTTTGTTGATTCACAATGAATTTTCCTCGGATTGCTGTACGTGTGCAATATATTGTGCTGGTTTGGGAATGAAATGCATTTTACTTGTGTTCGAACATTTACACATTTGAGTCTCTCGATTTGTTGGACACGAAATGTACATATGTATCGTTTTGCTATTATGTTGTTCTTTTTGGCATTGTTCTTCTTAACGCTATTCTTGTCCAAAAATTGTAATGTCGATTGAAACAAGAGAGTCATCACTATAGCGCTAGAGCGTGTTGAAAAAATCAAGCCCGTATAAAGGCATATACCCAAGTTACGCAACAATGGAAATTGGCCGCCAGTTTCGATCATCACCGCTTTGATACGGGATTGAATAATTATCTTTATTCTAACGTATCAAGTGGAATAGTTTCCTAGTTTTCTCATATTTGTCCTGGAAGAAGGGGATGCCTAGAAAAAAGCTTAGGACTAAATACGTGCCGTCGTCCACTTACCAACCCAGATTTGGATAGAAATTTCGTTGACCAGCTCACAATGTTTCCGATGTATCGTGATTGTCAGTAGGGGAAATATTACCGGATGAATCGTTACGGGAACCACTCATGGTTCCTCACTTTTTCATTCCTTGTTTGTATATACTTCAAAACATCGCTTTTTCGGATAACTGTTTTTAACCTATGCTGATAGGAATTAAGTTTTCCACAACTGCTTTGTGCTATCACTTCACCAAGAGTTGGTTGTTAGTGGCCAATTAAATTGCTCGACGATGTTGCGCATCGTGCTAAGCCTAGGGTGGTTCGCTTAACCGCTGGTCGGTTGCGGCTTCCACCACCATAAAGTCCTTGCTTCCGAAAACAAATAATTAACTAATCCCATACCCGACATGAAATAGTAACAGGGCGAGAGGCCGGGGTTCGCCATAAGGTTAAGCCGTCTTATCGGCTTTTCTCCCCCGGGATAAATATGTAAATCCTATCCTATAATAGTGAGAACGTTTAAGCTAGTCATCTTCAACTGTGAACCCCATACACAATAGCGAATAAGGTGAGCTGAGAATTTTTGTTGTTACCGTGACTGTGTTTTTGGTTGACGAAATAAAATCCTCGTTCTCTCAATTATTCCAGTCGGCGGAATATTACAACAAGGACCGGGTAGATGAGTGATTATATAGTTCAGCGTGCCGATTGGGATACTCAGGTGTTCCGCGGAGCTTGCTGGAATTGTAGAAAATAAGCTATTTGTATTACACATATAGGCAAGCATGCAACGGGCAAGCGTGTGAGACTTGAGTGCGCACTATCCATTAACTAAAGTATCTTTGCATTTTGTTTGTTCGTCTACTTTTTGTGCTGTTTTGTTTTTATGTCAGAGTACCGAAATAAATGATTGATGATTGATTGATTGAACTGGTTCGCGACTACATGAGCTTAATAGAGAGAGAAAGAGAGATTTATTATTTTGTCAACCAAAAACAAACAGTCATCAATACGAAAAAAATACATAACACAAATAAAATTGCTTTGGTATTGACGGGAGGGAGCGATACGACTATGAGATAGATCATCGAGGCCAACTCCCATCCTATTTGCTGATGTGATTAAGGTTCACATTGAAGATGAATTTATCTCCGCAAGGCAGCGTCATGTCAATCAGAAGCCCGACAGCTGTGACGGTGCCGACCCGAGCATGACGCTGACGATTTGAGCATTTTTTCCCCTCCTGACGCGCTCTTGTTTTTCTCTCGTTTCTCATGATTATCTTCGATTTAACTATTTTCTCCTAACTGACTTCCCCAATTCGACTTACATTTTCCAAATTGTGTTCATTCAAAAAATATATATGTTTAAATCCTGTTTATTTGACTTCATCTGCTGCTGTTTACAGCTATTTAGGTGTCGCTGACACGTTAACTTTATAGTTTATTCGCGACTCCTCGTCTATTGCAGTCGAATTATTGTACGTCTGTTATTTCTTCTCTCGATTTATTTTTACTGTTTATTTGTACAATATTTCTTGCATGACGGAAATAAATATCTGAATCTGATGAATTTTAGAAAAGTTTGTCTGTCAAATAATACTTTTAAAAATTCGATGTAATCTCAGAAAACTATTGGTGGAGGCCATGTTTTGCTGAGAACTCATTCACACAATAAAAGTTCTATATGCTTTAGACTAGATCAGCGTATCCTGTTTTATTGTTTCCTAATTTAAATCTGTGTATATGAATCAATAAATTCACCATTTTTTACCTGTCTGTGTCGTTTACTTTTCATCGCGTAGTGTTTGCCTCCAATGTTACCTCTAATGGAGATAAAAGTAGCCTACTTGCTGCAATTTCGCGAGCTGCAGTTTATTTATCTGCTGAATTGAATTTAGCGAACATGAGTAATTTTTCAGCATTTCATAGTAAAACCAGGCAGAGACGGAGGAAGAAGAGTTGACCTTTTGCCTTTATTCTTCAGACCTACTTGTTTGCTTATAACAAAACCAAAAGGATTGCTGTAAACTTGGGGTTACCATATTTTTGTGATCTCAGAGCGGGACGCCTCCAAAGGCCATAGCTGTTTTTTTTTTCAACTTTAAATTTACCGATTTTACATTAGGCACACATTTAAAACCATCCCGACTGTCTTCAGTGACTATATTGTCATCGAGAGTGCATGTGGTGTCTGTCTAAAAATCGGTTTCAATTCGATAAATAGAAAGGACTTTACGTTAAGTGCCCTTTTGGCGTATGGGGCTTACACGTAACAAATTTTAACCGCTAATAATGTTAGCGGAAAACAACGAAACAAACAAAACCACGCATCCACCTTCAGAAAGTATGCTACCACCGATACGCCACACAGCAATAACAGTATCGAGAACATGCTAATTGGTAATGTTCATGAATCATGCTGACTGGGTGAACGCCAAAGCGGGACTTTTGACTGACCGGTCGGGACGCCGGGACAAAACGTTAAAAAATGGGACTGTCCCGCCTAAAACGGGACGTATGGTAAGTCTATGTAAACTTATCAGTCTAAAAGCTACGCCGACGGTCACGAAAATGCCACTACTCTACCTCAGTTAGTCCGCTTTAGGCCGACGATAACGCGATATTGAACGGTCAGTTTGGCAACAACTTCACGATCCCTAGATTGCAATGACGATATTTTTGATTCCTTCTCCACGGAACACTCGGAAGACGCTAGTGTTCCGCGGAACACAGTTTTGGAAACGCTGGACTAGATGATGGGAAATAATAATACATACAAACATTCGATATAAGAAAATAGAGAGAAAAAAAAATGTATATATACTCTATATCAGTGGATGATAGGCTTGAACTATGTGGTAAAAATGTATCACCAGAATGACAGAAGATTATTATGCATCTTGGTATGATTACTAACATATTTAAGCCAGTAATAAAAAAAAACTATATGGAAACAGAACGCAAGGGAAAATTCTAGTTGATCACTATGGCTACAATAGAATAGCAAAATGATCAAATAACCCAACTCAATCCAAATAATTGCGGAACACAGTTTTGGAAACGCTGGACTAGATGATGGGAAATAATAATACATACAAACATTCGATATAAGAAAATAGAGAGAGAAAAAAACATATATATACTCTATATCAGTGGATGATAGGCTTGAACTATGTGGTAAAAATGTATCACCAGAATGACAGAAGATTATTATGCATCTTGGTATGATTACTAACATATTTAAGCCAGTAATAAAAAAAACTATATGGAAACAGAACGCAAGGGGAAATTCTAGTTGATCACTATGGCTACAATAGAATAGCAAAATGATCAAATAACCCAACTCAATCCAAATAATTGAGTTGAGAAACTTATCCTTTAAATGACATGTCCGACTAAATGTATGCCAGTTTGAATATGGACAAAGTAGGCCAATCAATCCTTAAGATTTTTTTCTGTTCAATACGATGCAGCATTATTTAGTCCTGTTAGTTCCAGACTATCATATGATGAAATTAAATAAATTGCAAATTTTGTTTCGACTGAATGTCAAAATATAATACCGGTACAAGATAAAATTCATAGGCAAATAGGCTATTGAACTACGGAACAATAATAATCTAAATTCTTTCAATTTATTGTGAAAATAGGAGTCTAGTAGTACCACAAGTCTGCAAGTACTTCTGGTGAGCAATGAGCATAGAATTTTGCATATGTTATACTAGGTCGCCTTGACGTACCTAATGCTTTTTTTATTTTACCTATTAAATAGCATATTTCGTTCGACTTTATTGTATTTAACACGTTTTGTTAGACTTTCTCAAAGGTGCCGCCGCTCGATAACCAGTTTTGGTTTTCGGCGTCTTTTTTCACCCTGAAATGCGATTTTTTTCTATATTTTCTTTAAAATTGTGTATGTCAGTATGTGGTATTTGTATTTTCAGCATGGTGAACTAATAAGTTATTGATTACTGACTGATTATCCCTAACCCCCACCTAATGTGTCATATGTCGCGCAAGACGCGCACCCGAAATCCAGGGGAAGGTCGCTAAGCTACCCGCGAGGGGAAATGTATGGAAATATTTTTAGTAAATTAAGAAGCATATGTTTGTTTGAAGTTTGTTGGAGGACCCGGGTCGTTGCGCCGGACGAATGACGGAAATTCGTCCGGCGCTGTGCCCCCGACTACTCTAGTCCATTAAGAAGTTCAAATGCCCTGTAATAAACTGATCACCCCTAACCGGAGTCGCATTTTTCCAATTTTAAGGTCCGTGATCACTCAACCGTGACGAAATTTTTTTGACATACACTAGACCTTAACTACCTTGTATGACCCGAATATGGCACCTCTACCTTCTACCATTCTCGAGATATAACGTTAAATCACTGGAGCGTGACTGAGGAGATGGAGAAATAAAATTTCTTTCAAAATAGATTCAAATAATTTTTCTAAACATGCCCACGCCTTTACTTTCTCAACAGGTCCTTTCAGAGGCCTGCAATAAGCCAAAATCACTAGACCATGACTGGGGAGTGAGAGAAAAAAAATTCCTTGAAAAAAGCATTAAACTAAATTTTCCCAACATACCTGTCTATTTTATTTCTCGATAGCTTCATTTTTAGGTGCGCACCCTTCTTACGCCACTGGAGGGCTATTGGGAGGGGGAAGTCCCAAGATTCAGGTGGTAAAATATTCTATATATTAGTCCCTTTGAGATATAAGCATCACTTTGCCCAAAAACCAATTTCAAGTGCTCCTAATAGCCCAAAAACGATATTACCTAAGTGGGCGTGGCTTTCCACACGTTTTCTCACCACTGGGGGGGCGGTGGCAGTGCCCCCACCCCCAATTACACTTGGAAAAAATCCCAATACTCGGGCAAACGCTTTTTGGCCCCGGAAACGCAGGTAAACGGCTTCTGAACCCCAAAATCACTCTTGCGTTACTTGATTGACAGCCTGAAATAATTAATGACACGCAACCTTAAATTTGGGCCACCAAAAGCCCGTTTTGGCCCACTTCCTTTGGCCCGATCGTTCTGAAAAATTTTATTTGTTAGTTCGGTAACTGCCCCCTACTACATGCCAAGTTTCGTCCCGATCGGCCCGCCAGTTTTCTGGGAAATGGTAACCCGATGGGTCTTAGCCAAGAGACTTCGTCACATTATTTTTGCCCTACGCGCAAAGTCTTTTGACCATTACTGTGCATACGCACTAAAGTGCTACCGGGTTGCCATACCATCGAGCAAGCTATTTCTCACAACGATCACGATATGAGAGAGATCGCTGCCGTTAGTGAGCTCTATATCGTCGGCGCAGACTGGCAGATACCGGTAACCGGTACCATTTCCAGCAATCTTAGGTATACTTTGGCAAGCTCTATGGCGTGATTGTGGCGTTAGGACACGTGCAAAAAACGTTATGCTATGCCCACTAGAAGTACGTTAGCTACGATATACACGAGACCCCACCTTTTTGGGATTTTAGGCCACTATGGTCTTTCATGTCTTGTGCATACATTCAGTCCCCGGGTCTGGTATGGTGTAGTACCACATGCACTTCTAGTTATCCTGGCTCAACAATTTTTGCATATGTCAATCCTAACCCCATCTGACCAAGTCACTGGAAAATTAGACCTCTACGTCATTTCGAAGTCACAGTGGCGTAATAAGGCCCACCTGGGCCCACCAAAATATGCGGATGGTCGTTCAAAACGCGCAGACGATCACCCGAATTCGAGCAAGTTATTTCTCTCGTTTTGTCGACACAACGATCACGATAGGAGAGAGATCGCCGGCGTTAGCGAGTTATGCTACGCCCACGCCCCACTGGAAGTACTTGTGGTACTAAACTATACTAGACCTGTAGACCCCAGTCTCCAAATATTGTTTGTCATTGGTTCTGTTTTTTATTCAGACTCTTTCATTTTTGGGGTCTAGTATAGTTTAGTACCACAAGTACTTCCAGTTAGCGTATCAAAACGAAATTTGCATATGTTATTCCTAACCCCCACCTGACTATGACATCCAAAAATTACGTCAATACGACGTCACAAACACGTCCTAGGGCTTGCCAAAGTATAATTACGATCGCCCGAAATGGCATCTGCGCCGCCGATTACGAAAGCCAGCGATCTCTCTTCTATCGTGATCGTTATGACGGGAAAACGAGAGAAATAGCTTGCTCGATTTCGGGTGATCATCTGCGCGTTTTGGACCATCCGCATACTTTTGTGGGCCTTATTACGCCAATGTGTCGTCGAAATGACGTAATTTTTCGGTGACGTAGTCAGGTGGGGGTTAGGATTGGCATATGCAAAAATTGTTGAGCCAGGCCAACTAGAAGTGCATGTGGTACTAAACTATACCAGACCCCATTTTTGTTTTAGTTTTTCTGTTTTTTTATCGTCTAAATTTGTATGTTTTTTTGTTCAAGGTCAAGTGTACCAGTACCCTGGAGTTATTTGCTTAACTTACTTATGTGTCTTGACATGCTGCATGAATCATCCTAAAAATACAGAGATGGGAACAAAAGTGGGTCATGAATTTTCGTGGTTGAGTAGGTATGCACCAGAATTTTGTGTTAAAGGAGAAAATATCGAAATCTTAGAAACTCCCACAGACTTCTACCAGAGATTGAAAAGTGAAGCAAAAAATGCTCAAAAAAGAGTTGTGCTTGCTGCTCTTTATTTGGGAAATGGTGGCTTGGAAGAAGATCTTGTTGGTTCTGTGATTGATGCTGCAAAAAAGACTGATAATAATGTAAAAGTTGACATCTTACTTGACTATGTTCGTGGATCAAGGGGAGAAAATAATTCAAAAACAATGCTAAAACCATTAATTGACCAATACAATGGATCAGATAAATTGACAATCTCACTATATCACACTCCAAAATTAAGAGGTTTGTTGAAAAAATATTTACCAGCCCGATGGAATGAAGTAATTGGAGTTGCCCATTTGAAAGTGTTTATTTTCGATGACACATTTATAATAAGTGGAGCTAACTTGAGCAATGACTACTTTGTGAATAGACAAGATCGTTATATGGTGTTTCATGATTGCGGCCAACTTGCTGATTACTTTCACCAGTTGGTAAACACAGTAGGCATGTTTTCGTTCCAACTAGTCTCTGTCACAAATCAGAAATTAATTTATAATGGCGATCATCATCCTTTTGAGGGAGATGAAAATGCATTCAAAAAAGCGGCTCAAGAGAGTGTAATGGCGTTGATTAAAAGACATCTTGCACAAAATGCACTTACTAATGTAAAGTTGTTTCAAGAAGGAATAATATCGAAGACAAAATTGGGGTTTAACAACTTTTTTCAATATTCCACATCACTTCTTACGTCCATCAGCAATGCTGCATTGTCGCTATTGGGATTTGGTAAGTCTATTATAGAGAAGAATTATGATTCTTCACAGATTAGCACTCATGAGATGACCCAAAATTTTATCTCACAAACTACAAGTGACAAGCAGAATACCAACTGTAAATTTGATACATGGGTTTATCCCACAATACAGATGGGTCTTTTTGGTATTCGTCAGGATGAAGTTGTTACAGAAACTCTCATGAAAACGTTTCCTAAAGGAAGTACAGTGTCTTTCACGACTGGTTATTTCAATGTGACTGATAAATATTGTTACGAGGTAGTAAATAACGCTGCTAATTACAACATTTTGCTGTCATCTCCCGAGGCAAATGGTTTCTTTGGTAGTAAAGGATTTTCAGGATATATACCAGCTGTGTACATTCATTTGTGCAAAAAATTCTCAAAAAAGGTTGCTGCATATAATAGAAAAGAAGATATTTCTCTATGGGAATATATACGTGATGGGTGGACATTTCATGGGAAAGGTATGTTCTGTTACCTACCTGGGGAAAAACTTCCAAGTATGTCATTAATTGGTTCCCCCAATTTTGGTTTACGATCTGTTAGCAGAGACTTGGAAGCACAAGTAGTTGTTGTCACAAAAAATCCCAAGCTTCAACAAAGACTTCATGATGAACAAAATTATTTAATGAAGCATACAAGAAAAATTACATCTGAAACTTTTCAACAGCCGCGATATAATGTACCTAGATGGGTTGCTTTTGTCACATTTTTCATTAAACGATACTTTTGATAGCTAAAATTATGAACACTCAGATATAAATGGAAACAACACATTCAATTATTGAAAATGTTATTGTCATTAATCCAAAAATTTTTTCTTTGTGATCTCTTTTTCCAATTGTAAAATGCTTGCTAATTCACTTTCTGCTATAAAATCTATGCAGTGTTTTTTATTCAAGTACAATTATCTTCTTTGTGAACCTAAAATGTATTTTACCTCTAGTGGACATTTATCACTTACAGACTTTCCTGGGCAATAAATAATGGCTGGGTCCAAATTAAAGTACAGTGATACCTTTGTAGAGGAGCAGCTTGATACTCGAACAATTCGGTAGTCGACCAATTTGTCACAGACTCACATTAGAGTCGGCAATCTGCGCAACTATCGCGAAAGCTGAACCTCTAAGGTGCGCGATTTCCTATTACAATATCGCAAACAAAAAACGAATCCTATAGAGGCCACAAAAATTTGCTCAGATGCACGGTAACTGATAAAAACGTTTTATACTTTTATCTTTATTACGTTTGATCTTATGTTATGTACACATTTGAATAATTATTGCTGTTCTTTGGCAAAAAATGTTACGATACTCGAACAAATCGGTGGTTAATTAAAACCAATCCTAAACGAAATATGTTAGACTATCGAGGTATCGCTGTACATAATCATATTCCAGGCTGTATTTGTTTAACTGCAATCATATTGATGATAACAAAAGAGCAGTATTTCATTCTATATAGCTTCCACTAGAATATGTCTTATTATAGTCACTATAATGGTAAAATATTCCCTTCTGTTGCTCCCTCCCTGATCTTTGTGATATATGAAGCATATACCTCTGATAAATATGGTAATTTTTCACGCCAAGACTGTTAAGATGAATGGTTCGCTTATTATATTTTCCTTTTACTGCACACTGCACCATTCAAAATGAGATTACATTGTTAGCGGATTGTATGAACACGTACTTATTCATTTTGCTCTATTCTCCTTGTCACTCTTTTGCAATTTTGGAATGTTATACAGTAGGCCAGGGCTACTCAACTATTTTTACCATAGGTTCGCATACAAAACTTCAAAATCATTTGGGTCCGGTCTTTTCAGTAATTATATTTCGGCATCTTTTTAGACTCCTTTTCTCGGCCGACTAATGATTATTAGCAATTCAACTTTATTTATTATGGTGTTATAGTTTTTTTCATATATATTCAAAACTATAAAAGTCAATTTATAAAAGGAAACTTTAAAAAGTGGGGACAAAATAAAGAATTAGGTGCGGTCCGAATCCAATACTCGAAAGGTTCGATTTGGACCACGGTCCGCCAGTTGAGTAGCCCTGCAGTAGGCTATATTTTTTTGCGACCCTCAGGAACTAAAACAAAAAAAATTTAATAATACTAAAATGTTTAATTAAAAAAATATTAAAATTGACAATACCTTCAATGGGACCAATTGCTTGCATATTATATTCTTGCAAAAAGATTGAATTTTGATTTTATTTCAGTGATGGTAAATCTCATTACTGGTTTTAATTCTTTGAAATTTGATCGATGTTTTGTTTTAACATAAGTTGTCGTGAAAGATTTTACCGCAACACCCCATCAAGCCCTTATCGCGATCCATTGGGAGGCGGGACCCTCACTTCAAAGAGCCTTGCTATAGATTATATATACTGATATTTAAAATGGAATACTAAACTATTGGGTCATTTGTGTGTAAAAAACAATATCTGTCACTTCAGTATTTTAGCAAGTTCATAGAGATTAATAGTATGTAATCGTACTTGTATATCACTGTCATGTGATTTTTGTTGTATTTCTCGAATCCATGTTTATATAATAGCTTCGAATTTCTAATATTGAGATATGTACTGATTTAAGTTACCTCATTCAATATTTGAAGTTGTTAAGAACAGCCTACTGAGTATACTTTTATTTTATTTCGTAATTCAGAAGTTCAATTATGCTTTATTAGAATAACGTAAATTATTCATGCCATCATGGATTCTCCCGCATTCGATAAATGCGATAATCAAATCTGGGATATGACATCACATATTCTGAAAGATTTGTTGAAAGATGTACCTGCTGTTCTTTATTCTTCATTGGGTGTCAGCATCGCATCTGTAATTCTGGAAATTAATGGCAAGAAACAGGTTAGCATAGACTCAATAATGAGGCTAATGATTATTGTTATTGCTAGAAAGTATTAAGCTTTTCGATTTAATTTCCCCCTTTCATCAACAAATATGATGGCCAGTATGCGCTGCGGATATTCCATTTTTGTTTTTATAGAATTGAACCTGCTATTTGTGGGAATTACTAGAATGAACTACCGTAAATAGAATTGCTTGCCTATGGTAAAGGGTATTCTGCACTAAATGCCATACCATTGAATACTATTATTTATTTTATAGATTGTAGCAATTGGTACAGGAAACTCTTGTCTATCACAAAATCAGCAGAGTACATTGCAACATAATTTGATTTTCGATTCTCATTCTGTGACAATTGTTAGGAGAGCATTAAAAGTGTTTCTCTTTGAGGAAGTTCATAAATTCCATAATGAACAGCTTTCAGAAAATTGCATTTTCACAGTAAGTGACATCTTATATGTTTTAATCTAGTGAACACTCTTTTTGAAATGTAAAGAAAAGCAATTTTCTGTATCATACATTGTAATTTTTCGTAGCGTGAAACAATTTTAGACCCTTTTGAAACCCATGTTTTCCAGCTTCCTGCCTGACTATTAAGGTCTAACTTGGCATTTAGAAATTGCAGACCACTCTCCCGTTTGAAAGTTCCTTATGCCCCTTACCACTGGTACACATGAAAATTCATTTTTCAGGTTTAACTATTTATGGATCATTAGCTGTAAGCACGCTTTTAATAAAATTTTATAATGCATACATAATACTATTACAATAATAGTTAAAAAGTAAAGAATAACAGTAATACCACACACAAATGGACCATAAAATTCCTCATCTTGAAAGAATTTTTCTTGGGTTGGGAAACACTGGTTTAATCGATTTTACTTCAGGGAGATTTCACATGACAAAGAGAACTTTTGGGTATCATTTGATTTTAATCAGAAGATTGTTTTTTAATTTTTTTTATCATGGCTAGCCTCGGGTGTAAAACACATTAGCGTATATCATATTTCCCTAACTTTATATGAGAATATGGTTATTTGTAAGTAGCTTATATCTGAAAGACTGAAACATTATCTATAAAGAATTTCAAATTCAAGATGTTCAAAACTGATTTCATTTTTCCCTGACAAGAACCCCTCCTGTTCTTGTTCCATTGCTTGATGCATATATTTCACAGGATGTTTTCACTTTGTTGAGCATGAATCATTTGAACATAATGGGGTTTGGAATCTATCAATCAAAATAACATTATAAATACAACTGGAATGATAAACAGGGGGGCCATGAGTGCTAAAACCCTCCAGAAGGGGGCTACGAGCCCTAAAAGGTTGGGAATCACTGTTCTAGACATTAATTTCTCTAACTCATTTTTTGTATAGAAATCGAAGAAACATGATCTGCTTCATTTGAAAGAAAATGTAAAATTTCATATTTTCATGTCCAGGTCACCAGGCAGGTAACATACCGTACGGCGTACATTATGAAATTTGAAGTTTTTTCATGACTGAATTGAATTAATTTACCATTTAACTTAAATTTAGATATTCTTCTGGTGAAGAAAACTGGACTACATGTTTATTCTGAAGGAGGTATGCTAATATAAACTGACTTGAGTATAATATGTTTTTCATTTTGAACACGTCACATTGTTTTTATTCAGGTGATACATTCATGTCAACTTCCGTCGCAAAAAAATACATGATGATTTGCAAGAATAGAAATGTTGTGATGACTGATGACAGTAAATTGCTTCAGTGGTCTGTTATTGGGTGGCAAGGCGCTTTGTTGTCACATCTCATTGCACCAATTTACATGAGGTCTGTATTGTGAAAAAACTATATAAATGTTGATATTTTTCGACAAAAAAACACTGAGTAAGCATGTATTTGTATTTATAAGTTATCAAACTTATATATAATAATATATCAAATTTCTTTGATATTCTATCATTATAAATAGTGCAAATTCTGTAGTGTTGTCAACAAGCGGTGCGTCAAAGCTATTGGCGAATTTGACAACATTGCAGATTATTTATTTTGATAGGATTGTTTAAGATATCGGTTACAGAAGCCTTTAAAAATGTTGGAATCTGAATGGTCTTTCTAACATAAAGAAAGTTTTGTTATGTACATATTTTTATTCCATTGTCAATTTTCATATGGGTCAGATTTTATCAAGTAAACTTGTCAAATGAAAAAACTGATACCCTTATATAAATGCCTTGTTGACTGTAATTTTTCTTCGTTAATATTCAATGCAAGTTCTTCCATTTCATTTTTTTTTATAACGATTGTCTGTTTTCTCAATCTATTTTTGCATTAACATATAATTAACCTTAGCTCTTGCACCGTGGGATATCATTCAAAACGACATGTTCCTAATATTTCTACATGTTTTGCTATGGCTGATGACAGCATAAATCAAGATTTACCTGAAGGGTATCGTTATATCGAACCAGAAACTTGTAAATTTCTAATAAAGGTAATATGTAATAAATTGAATGAATTGCTAAGTTGCTTGCTCATAACAGAAATGACCAAACCTGAATAATCTTCATTTTCAAATACATTCTGAAGTAATTTTTGTGAATATGATGATATATTGGTCTTATTGTGTGAATAATATGGCTAAGAAGAACAGGTTTTCAAATTATGTTGATTAGCTGACAACTCAAATATTAATATGTGTGAAATTTTCAGGAGTATAATGATCAGATACCTTTTGAGACCAAAATGTTGAGTGTGAATTGGTATGATAAACAGAAAAATGCAGAAATTATAGACGGATCTTGTGGTGAAATATCATTTTGCTCACCACACAAATGCATTTCTGGTGAGTAGTCTATTTTTTACAGTGCCAAAAAGCGTATTCCAAAACAACCAGAAGACAAACTTAAATGGCCACTTTTGTGTGACAATTAGTATTAGTAGTATGACAAAATTTTACATATTCCCAAGATATGTAAAGTATTTGTACATATGATTTTTCTTTGCAGAAAGAAGTAGGCTATGTAAAGCATCATTGTTTCAAATATTTCGTAATGTGGCTGAGAAGATGGGAAGATTTGACCTTCTTCAAGGAAGGACCTATAGGAATTCAAAGGTAAATATTTTACTTGTTACATTAAGTATTTTGATAGAAGTCATTGATTTTCAAACTTTGTTATGTGTGATCTCCATGTTTATTTGTTGTGAGAGTTTTGTCTGTTTCACCCATAAAGAGAGTTGTTTTTCACCTGATGCCATGCAACGGCTTGGCGGTGTGGCGCAATGTGCTAAGCGTTAGGAATACGCTTGCCACCACACCTCTGATTACCCTGCTTGGATTTGAATCCCATGCGGGGATAGTTATGTGCGAGAGGATTGCTGGACTCACTGCCACCGTAGGGTGGTTTACGTAACCCCTGGTCGTTTACGGCTTCCTCCACCATCAAGTCCTTGCCACCGTAGGGTGGTTTACGTAACCCCTGGTCATTTACGGTTTCCTCCACCATCAAGTCCTTGTCACTGTAGGGTGGTTTACGTAACCGCTGGTCAGTTACGGCTCCCTCCATCAAGTTCATGCTTCCGAAAATAAATAACTGGCCAACTAATCCCATACCTGACTTGTACTGGTAACCCGACGAGAGGCAGTGGTTCGTCATATGATTAAATGTATTATCGGCTTTCCTCTCCCCCGGATTAAATATGTAAATCCTATCCGATCCATCTCCAAAGAAAGACTTTGTCTCATTTTTGAGTGATTTTCCTTATGTTTGAAAACTACACAAACATGTCAAAATATGTTTGAAAATTTTAGATTGCCAGCAGCAGTTACATGCAGAGTAAATCAGTCCTTCATCAATATTTTTCTGTGAATAGAATGGGGAGTTGGATTAATAGATCTGAAGATATTGATAAATTTACTTAATCAACTTTGTAACTTGCTCTATGTTGTTGGGCAAAGTCGAACGTTGAGCTGTTGCAGTTTTTTTGCGATATGCTGGTTTGCTGAGTATTCATAATCATAACTCGATAGTGCAATGCTGAAACGCTTAAAGGTACGGCTGGATTATTTTCAATCATACTTTTTTACACAGCGAAATTACACTGTACACAGATTGTAATGCATTTCTTTTTATTCTGGGTGCCGGTATTGGGACAAAATTTACATTGATATTGATATATTTCAACATTTTTTCAATTTCTTCACTGTGGTTTCTTTCAATAAATTTCTCAAATATTCACATAATTTGGTTCTTGTTTATTTCGATTATGTTCTGATGGCATGAGCCAAATTGGCGCAATTTTTAAAAACTCGAGCAATGCTGACAAATTTCTAACAAATGGTAAAAACCTGATTCACACAAACTTCTTCAAATCTATCCTATAAGACTGTGTGCTTCGCTGTTATTTGTTATGCGGTCATTTCTGGCAGGTATTCTTTACCTGGTACGATAATACACTGTTTCGTTTCGCGCATTTGGAAATTCTCATTTAATGACTTTGTCGAAATTGATATAGTTTTAATCATTTCGTAACTCCTACTCAAATTTTTAAATTAATCTCTAAGTCTAAGCTGTAGAAAATATCTAAAACTCTTCCATTTCTGACAACCAAAATAGTGAACAAATTTTAAGTACAAATCAGTTCGCCTAAGAATTCTAACATGAAATTCAGAAAGTCTAAATGATATAAAAGGTTTAAAGCTGCTAAACACCATTGCGTAAGTTACTTGAAAAAGAAGCTCCGCAAATCTGTATTCACTCAAAATCATGTTTGTGCCAGATCCTAATTCTCACAGAATTCGATTTTAGAGGCAATATTGATGCATTTGGTACCAGCGGTGCGCACCTAGGAATGATGCATGCCTTTCTGTTTTAAAATATAAACAAAACGTAATATAGATGTAGAAAAAAACATTTCTTTAGTTTTAAAACTCAAGTCATCAAATGGTGCTTTTCCATACATCTAGACGTTTTTTTACTAAACTCTTCAGAGTGGTATTACATTCCTCCTCTGATAGAAATGCAAGTTCCTTGGCGGTATTAAAAACCCAAACCCACGACGAGTCCCTTAAAATCAACTTTGCAGAAGAGATTCTTGCATAAACTATGCCTAGATTCACCATGTTATTGCAATATTGCGAGAAGCTTGATGTGCCTGCAAATCACTTAGATGCCTTTTCAAAAATAGATGTATTTATAACATATATATCAATGATCTTCTTAACCACGATCCCTCATTCAGAAAAAGAGATTGTCAATTGCAGAAAACTATTAAACTCACAATGGCGTCACACTATAAACATCACTACATCCACCCCAATTGTAGATACGTCTCATTAATTTCAAATGGGTAAATATGCCTGTTTCAACAGATCAATTGTGTAAAATGAAAAATATTCAGTACATACATTCATAGGCCTCTTGAAGACGCCTCGGAACCATGTCTATGTATAAGTACATAAGCACCTGTAGACAAGTGAAAATGGCTTTAACAGCATTTACCCCAAACTCTGCATCTTCGGTACTAATGGGGTTTACAAGTGCATAATACGTTGGCTGGGGAAATGTAAATTCGAATTATTGAAAATATGCATCCTTGGAGTCTTTCAAAAACTCCGTCATGAGCGATTTAATTTTTACCAGAATAACGAAGTATTATAAGTTAAACAGACCTGCAATTATTTCAAGATCATAAAAGAAGCATTTGGGTAAAGTAGATTGGTTGTATTGCATTTTAAATCATTCTCTTTGTCAAGCATAGTCAACTGATGTAAAATCTTTGCGCCTAATATTGAACTGATCTTGTTAGTATTTACTATACCTACCCTAGTTACGCTAGTGAGCAGTTGCACTTTGCCTGGATAGCTTAAACAACAGTCGCTAATGTTTATGATTCACAAGTATAGTCATATTCGAAAGATAATTTTTAACATCCAAACCCCACGACGAAAAAGAGGACACTTTCCACGTACACATCAGAGAAAGACTAACTGTACTCCTATAGACGGGTGCATCCGTATTTAAACAAAGCTTTGTACTGTTGTAGGAAGATATTTACCTCTTATGTGCATACAACTTATTCAGTCACTATTCGCGATACTGTAATACTGATTGCATGGCTAGATCCTGAGAAGGCGTTCAGGGATATATTGACGATAAGATTCGATCAGGCAATTTTTACATCCATTTTTTTAACCTATTTATACAAATGGATGAATGAAACAGCCATTTCAAATAAAACAGGTAAAAAACAATTTGATTTTGAACAAATCCTTATTCTTTAATATATATATATATATCTGAGATTTCTGGTTTGTCATTGTTGTGAATGTTGAGGTACTTTTCCTCGGCCAGGATGCCATTATTATGTGAAATATTCGTATATTGGAGACCCGTCTCGTCCCTGGTTATTAGAGGGGGCGAATAGTGCGATTTAAAAAAATATTCAGTCTTCTGACATACGATAGTATATATTACTTTTTCGCACATAATTTTGGTTTTAATCTATGTAAACCGAACGTTTATTAGTTGCCATTTCGTTTGCTGATAGATTGAAAGACTAGGGTGGTTTTTCTTATGAACTTTCGATAGGTTTGGTAACGTGCCAGACATATACTGCCAAGAATATGCACATATCGCCAACTCATATACATATACAGCCAACCAAATTTACATATACTTCCAAGTCATATGCATATATAGCCAACTCAATATACAAATACAGCCATTAAGATGATGCACAAATAACTATACAATAGGTACCGATCTATAATGTCCCACGACAGCTTGTTGTTGATAACACTAGAAATATGCTAGCTGGAAATCTCTCTTCAGTAAACTATGCTTTTGCTATTGGCAACAAACTGTCCTCAAACTAATCAAATTAACGCTTGGGGGGAATTATAAAACAAAAAACGGCCGGTGCGCGTAGTTCTCGATAAATGTCGAATAGGCGCCAATCCATGATGTCTAATACCCCACAAACGCTGATCGTTGATAATACGAGAAATGTGCTGGCTGAAAATCTTTTTTTAGACAACTATACTTTGACTATTAGCAATAAACTGTCCAAAAATAATCAAATTAACGCTTGGTGAGAAATATAAAACATAAAACTGCCGCTGCGCGTAGTTCTTGATAAATGTACAATGGGCACCAGTCTATGATATTATAATACCCTTCATCAGCTCATCTTCGATAACATGAAAAATGTTTTGGCTGAAAATCCCTCTTCAGTTCCACTGCGTTGGCGGGATGCGTTTGAATACACCCTGATACACAATGGGGCCTCTTATCGAATTCAACGGAATATAGAGGACTTGCACGGGTCACGTGACTTTGTTACTGGACGGCAATAAAACAAAAACGTCCATTTGGCTCCTGTCAGTTGCAAGTCGGATTATACGTTTCCGTTTTGTTTGGCTGTTGAGAATGGTTATTTCGTATTGTTCCGTTGGCTGTACGTATAGTATAGACAACGAAATGGATCTTCAGTTATATTCCACTGTTTTCAAAAGATCCGGAACGTCGCGCAATGTGGATATCATCTATTGGCAGGACTGCTTGGTGTCAAGTCCAGAAGCCATCTCACTTGTGTTCCACTGTTTGCGGACAGCACTTCGTTGATGGTGAGTCATCATGTGCCGTTATCAAATTTTTAAATATTCATAAGCTCCCTCATTTCAATGGAAAGCAGATGACAAAATGCTGTTATTGGTAGGCCTAGGCGTAGGCCTACTTGCAGACTTGACTCGTGTAAGGTATTAATCAATAATTGCCATGAGGTATTGTTTTCCTAGTTAGCAGGTAATCTATCAGTAAGTGTGAAAAGTTGAATAGATAACTAAAGTTTAACGCCAGTGCTAATGCAAAAAATAACCAGAATTCAATTGAATTCTCCATCTAAGAATACGCTCGCCACTGCATCTCTGATCCCCCTGGGAGGTTCACAGGTTCCAATCCCATGCGGGGATAGTTATGTGCGAGGGGATTGCAGCTCTCCTCCCACTGAGGGTGGTTCCCACGACCGCTGGTCGATTACCACATCCCCCACCATCAAGTATATACTTCTAAAACAAATAACTGGCTAACTAATCCCGACATAGAATGGTAATCGTACGATGTTGCACCTTGCAATCTGTCCCCAACCACAGATAAATTCTATCCTGAAAACTACCCACATTGGTAGGCATAGTTTCGTTTTAAATTGAAAGAAATCTTCAATAATGGTCAGAAGGTGTTGTCTGATTGTTTTGTTAGTTAGCAGGTAATTTATTACTGATCTGATACACAAACTTAGCACTGTCAAATGATGATTAGTGTTTAATTTATTTTCAGGAAAAAGGGAAGATAACCCATTATCAGCTGCTTATATGTCCCATCGATATTTGAATTTTCGCCATCCCCAGAGAGGAAGAGAATAGTTAGAAAAAGGGGGATTTTGAAGAAAGGCAAAAGGCAGGACCATTTCAACAAATTCTGTTAATGGCGTCTCAAGTCCGGCTTTTGTTAGTATTTTATGTTTGACTTCTTTCTCATTATGATTTAATATTAGACTTACTGCCTCAAAGGTGACGCTGCTCGATAACCTTCTCTGGTTTATCGCGTCTCCCCTCACACTGAAATGTAATTTTTCATTTATTTTCAATTTTGTTCGTCAATGTTTACATTCGGTTTGTAATAAAATAAACTACTGACTGACTGACTTAACTTGTATGCGTTGCAATATTAATTTGCAGTTGTTAGCATAAACATTTAATGTGTCTTTCGACTAGACCTACCACACTTTAAAAAAGGACGCCACCCCTTTTCACTAGGACCATAATACTGTAAAATATTTGATAGAAATTACCCCCGAGGCATCATATCTTCCATTTGAAGGGGAATGGTCGTAACCGATCAGCGGTCATGTGAACCACCCTCGGTGGGAGTAGAGCTGCAATTCTTTCTGGGATTGAAACCTGTGAAACTCCCAGGGTGATCAGAGATGCGGTGGCGAGCGTATTCCTAGATGGCGAATTCAATTGAATTCTGGTTATTTTTTGCATGACCACTGGTGTTAAACTTTAGTTATCTATTCAACTTTTCACACTTAGTAATAGATTACCTGCTAATTAGGGAAACAATACCTTATAGCAATTGATTATTAATTCCTTACCGTCTTACACAAGTCAAGTCTGCAACTGCAAGTAGGCCTACTAATAACAGTAGTTTGTCATCTGCTTTCCATTGAAATGAGGGAGCTTGTGAATATTTAAAGAAATTGATAACGGCACACTATCACTACATTATCACTCACCATCAACGAAGTGCTGTCCGCAAACAGTGAAACACATGTAAGATGGCTTCTGGACT